GTTCTATAATTGCTCCACATCTGCGAGCTCCTGGATCTAAACCTCAAAATCAGGTGGCAGTTAAAACTGATGAAAAGATGGGGTTGGAGGAAAAGTTTACTTATGATATCTGGGGTGACCATCTTTCCAATCTTCCCCTTGTAGGTAGGTCAAAGGAGGTATCGGAGATGCCTCCGCATGCTATAGAGAACAGCTCCAGTAGCTTCTTTCTAAGGGGTCCACAGACCCTTAATACCAACTACCAAAAGACAACTGTAAGTTCTGACCGTGAAGGTTAATGAAAATTTAGTTAAAATCTACTCTGCTGTCTGATATATATGTTAGGTACAACTTACCTCGTAGATAACTTGTACAAAAAAATGTGCATAATCACGTTTTAATAAAAGACAAGTAGGACACAACTAATTGCAACTATAAAACAGATCAATAACCATTTGATAATGGGATGTAGAACTTTAGACACACCTGTATAATGATAATTTGCCAAGAAAGTATCAAGTGACACAAGGTTCTGTTTAATCATTTTGGCTGACATGGATTAAACCGTTGTTGTGTCTTGAGAAAATGTCTAGCTATATTCATACTTAGTCTTGATATACCAAGCTATGATTATGAGTATAATAATTGCACCATACTGCATAGACATTCCTTTTATGAAGCTTTAGATCTTCCTATCATTTAATGTTAGAAGATCATGTGAATTAAGAGTGCGCGCTTGGTTGTGTAATCTTGCTGCTGGTTGAGTTTGCGTCTTTCTTTAGACCAATGAATCAACTATATTGATTATTTATTGTCTTGCATATTAATAATTGTAAAAGAATAAGAATAAGTTAACATACTATTGAAATGAACAATGGTTATCAGAAAGTTAGAAGTATTATACAGCAAGTACAACTAATTGCAGAAACTGCAGCAACTTCACCTTTGTCCCAAACAAATTGGGATCGGCTATTTGAATTTTCACTGACCATGTTCCTCAGGGGAAGGACTTTACTTTTTATATTTGTTTGCCATACTCGAGTTTTCTCTTTAAATGTCTATTTTCATTTCATTATTTTTTTAGGTTGTCTTCTTAATCATTCCTATTTGGACAAAAACTTCAGCTTCGCTTTTGCATTAACATAGCCACATAGGCAGGAGCTGGCAGGCAAAACCTTTCATAACCATTTCCCAAACTTCCACTCTGTAAATAGCCTTTCTAATGCCACTTTCCCAGACTACTCTATGCATATTAGCTGTGATAATCCAAAGTCTCTCCCCAGATAAATTTATTTCTTGTTGATGGGGGAAAGTGCCGGAATTATTTATAGGTATGTCAATATGTTAATTATGTAATGGCAAGGAGGTTTTTTCAGACAACTACTGATGGTTGGACACTATGTTGCTCGCCTCCTTAAAAATGTCGTCGCACCGTGTTAGATCTTCCAAATGTTATCTTTTTTTGAGGATCTAACACGATTACAAGGCCCATTGGCTAAAAAACTTATCTGAGGCATATGCACGTTCTGTTCATGGTGATATCTCCTAGTACGGGCAGTCTATCATGAAATGGAAGATAACTAACCATAGAAAAGTATTTGCTAATTGGCTTCTTTGTTACCCTACAGCACTAATGACAGTGTAATGTCAAACATTTCACAGCCTCTTTCCTATGAAGGTATCAGTAAATTCAGTCTGTCCATATTAATTATGTTATGAAATTTTTTTAATGTCTATTAGAAGGTTTTGTTCTGTAGAGAACACATATCCCTTGTTGCCAGACTTAATTTTCCTTTACTTTTTTCGGTTGGTTGGTAATTTGGAAATTGCATGCAAAATTTAGAAGGGAAGGGGAGCCTTGTAACAACGGTAAAGTTGTCTCTGCATGACCTATAGGTTACGAGTTCGAGTCATGAAATCAGCCACTGATGCTTGCATCAGGGTAGGCTGCTTACATCACACCTCTTGAGGTACGGCCCTTCCCTGGACCCATGCAAAATTAAGAAGATGGAGCCTTTCTCTATGCTTAGAAATCTGTAGTCTGTTGTTTGATACTAATACTTGGAATAGATCACTCTGAATAGCAGAAGTTGCTGTATATATTGATCAAGAAAGAAAAAAAAGAAGTTGCTGTATATCATGATATCGTTGAGCTCGAGCTCTGAAGCATTTCATGCCACCATTAAGGTGGTCTTCTAGACTTCCATGCCTGCAAATGTTTTGGGCTTAATGGTAATTAGAAGTTTACTTTCTAATTAGTAATTGTATATTACATATCTGAATGGTGAGGGTTGTAGATTTCAGCAAAATTCCCAGTGTTAATATGGTATTAACTATTAATTGCAAGTGTACATCCGATTGAATCTAGGGTATACAGTAGCTTGAAGTTGGTTAATCAATTCTAACAAACAATTACACTCCCGCTCCCTTCCATGCAGAAGAAAAAGGTCCAAGCAACTCTTCTTCGGTTTTAACTTCAAATATTGTTATAACCAAGGATTATAATGACATGAATAAGATACTTTGAGGTAAATAATTTTTGTTTCCGGTATTTAGCACTTTCCCTTTAATGGTTCTTATGTGGTGCGAATCTGGTTGGTTGGGGCCCTAATGCGGGTATTTGATGTTGGGTGGAAAATACAAAATGTTTAAATAGTTTTTACAACTTCAACTAAATATTGTTCAGACAACTTGTCTATATCTTCTTGATAAAGCATCCTTTTGTGTATAATTGTGAAAATTAAATGCTCTAAGATCACGGAATCATATTAGATGCTCATAAAATCTATTTATGGTTGACGAGACAAAGAAGTGACGGTGCGTGTGCATAATTAGCGTGCAATTAGTAAAATACATTGATTTAGAGGTAGATTTAATATTTAAACTCTGTTGATTCGAGAAGCCATTGAACTCATTGACCATTTGAATTACAGGGCATAGCTTATAGTACATATACTTAACTGCACTAACTGGTTCTAAGTTACAAATACATCGCTTTTTATAATAACGGCGATCTCCGGGGCGTTCCCTTTCTTGGTCTTCTTCTTAGACTATAACTCGGAGCTAAACATTCAGCTTTATCTTCTTTAACAATTTTGCCATTGCATAGGAAATTAATTCTCTTGCTTCTTACTTTACAAGCAATCGAGCAATATATATATTCTTCGTCCTTTATTCTCCCTTGGCATGAGAAACACTTGGGATTTCCGCCATTTCCTTCTTTTGGTTTCAGCAGCATAACCTTATGACTGTTTATTATATAGGGTTGAATATCAGTGATGTCCACCTCCTTTTCTATATCTACTTTTCGCACTGATGCTTTCTCAGAAACTTTAAATATCTGCATTGACAACAAAACTATTATATTAACTAGCCAGGTTCTCAGTTCAAAATGCCGAAAGCAGGAAAAAAAAAAGAACTCTACAACACAGTTCAACAAAAGACACTCATTTAAAATAAAAGAAAAAACTTTTTGTTATTGGTGAAAAACTTACTTGCAATAGTTGGTGATCTTCATGTGAAGAAACCTTCCAACATAATTCACAAAGAGGTTTGCTTCTGCAGTTCTTACAAAAACGGGTACAATACTGGTTATTGTGTGCCTCACAGTGATTATGGGGTTCATAAAAATCAGTATTTAATAGAGGTGACAACCACGGTGGATAATTACCACTCTCCATATCTAAAATTTGATTGAACAAACAGCACCACCAGAGGCTATCACTTGAATATATAGTAGCATAATCCCAAACTAGACAAGGGCTAAATATATATAGACATGTCAATAACCTTAATCCTAATCGGTAATGGATTTAACTTTTCCTAATAACTTCCAAAAAAGGAAAACATTTAGAAATAGATTAATAATATAAATATGCATGATGAGAAAAAATAATTAAATTAAAAAAGGAGGCTTGGCTACACGACTTTAACGGATTAGAGGACTTTGGTGAAATAAATACGAAAAGTTGGTTTTGGAATTGTTTTATGAGGCACAGTAACTCTTCTCCGTTTTAGTTGAATGTTGACAAGGTTAGTCCAAAACAAAAAAACTTGACGTTATTCGCTTCTTGACTTCTATATTTAACTCAGGCAAATTAATGAGAAAGAATATATATATATATCATATCATATATCCGAGTTCCAAATTAAATGTTAAATTATAAAACAAGATGTAAACCAAATCTTTTAACAGAAAATCAAAGAATAAAGAGAAGGATACACACACATATATGTAAGAACATGGTTATCAATTTATATAGGTCGAATTTGTTCGGATTTTTCAATTACCAAACCAAACTAATTGTGTCGCGTTTTTAAATTTATAAACCAAACCAACAAAAGTCGAATTTTTTAATCTCGGGTTTTCTCTAGTTTTTATATTTTTTTTGGGATTTTCGGGTTTTTTAAAGTAAAATCTTCATAACATAAAATATATAACTTGTGCTTTAAATATTTCTTTAATCCCGGTAAAATACAACTAGATAAGGTGTTTCCTAAGAAAATAACACAAAGTGTGAAATGAGTCATGATATTGTACTAAAATATTCAACAACAAATATAATGAAATAACATGAAAACAAATACTATTGAGTTGAATTTCTTTTGTTAGCATTACTATTAATTTTGTTTTGCTTTTGGACTTTATTTTGAGTTACTAACATCTATAACGTATAAAACTTATTGAATCATTCAAAAATTCTAAGCCTAAGTTTAAAACAATATATTAAAAGACAAAAATTATGAAAAAATTTAAGAGATGTTTATATATTAGATTCCAATAAATATTTTTAAAAATAATGTACATATAATGTCGGGTTGGTTTTGATTTTGATTTGATTTTTTTTTTAAATCTAACCAAACCAATTATGGTAGATTTTTTTTAATATCAAACAAAATCAAACCGAACCATTAATCGGATTTTTCCTGGTTTGACTCGAACTATCACTTTGATACTATTTATCGATTTTCTTTATACACCCCTAATTGTAAATAGTGGTGAATCCACAAGAGAAGTCAAATTCACTAAACATATGTAAATAATTTTTTTGGAAAAACAATAATATTGTATAAATCTGCGTACAATAGACCCTTGTAGTCCAACTCTTCTCCGGACCCCGATCCTTTTAATAATGCTGCATAGATGTATATTAGACAATTACTAATGAAAATAATGAAAAGAAAAATAAATAAATTAACGACATAAAGTAAAATCTTAAAACCCTCCAAACTCATTTAATAACTTCACTGTAATAACCGACACAATTTATGAAAAATCCTGCCTCCGCTACTCTTATCAACTGTAGTCTAACTCCTTCAAATTTGCTTCAGAAGCATCAATTGTTGGAAGTTTAATCCTAGGATTTTCCATATTACCGTCATATCTTCCTGAAGTAAAAATAAGGTAATAATAATCTTGGTCATTTTCCAAGGTATAAAGTTTTTGGCCTGCTGCATAGCCACCAAGAAGTTGATATGATCTTTCTGATTGATCAAGAGTTACACAAAAATCATCACCACATGCAGCAAGTTCTAGTTGTGTTCTATATATGAAATCCAAAACTTGTGAAATTTCTTTTTCAAACTGATAAAATGGTCCATTTTCAAAGTTAAATTTTCTAAGCTTACATAGCCCTTCTCCCAATTCCATCATAGCTCCTTTGTGATTTTGGTTGAAGAGGTGATGGAATCCAACTGCACATTGAAGAATTCCATGAAGTAGTGTTCGAATTGGCTCTTCGGATTCGTTCCAAAGGGCTTCAAGAACGTCATGACATCTGTAATGTAATCAGAGGTAACAAAATCAATTCATTTTTTTTATCCTAAAATGACGAGGCATTTGCTTTAAATAGGCCGATGATGCAAAGAACGTCCAAAAAACTCATCAAATTATTCCGTCTAAATAGTATAACTCGTGGGGTCAAAATACAATCCAAACCCAAACATATTTGGAAACTGAGAATTATGTAAGTTTGGAAAAACTTAGGTTAATAATTTAAGAAAAAATACATCAACTTTTTCCTGTTTTTGTTTTGCATAAAGCAAAATAGAAAAGAGGAGAAGTTGGTTAAGTTATAATCCTTAAAGTTTGAGCAAGTTGGATCATCATTTGATATCTCATGGAAACTCTACCTGTAATAATCTCTGCTATTGAAAAGTGCCACGGCTTCTTGGAAACTATAGTTTTCTGAGTTTAGATAGTCTTCATCTTCATATTCCACAAAACTTCTCCGAGAAAGGAGACGATAATTATATGATGTGGTGTTCTTCTTCAATATTTGCCGCTGATAATGAACCTTTGAGTTTGAGTAGGGAAAAAAGTGTGAAGATAAGTTTGTGAAGTTAGACAAGGGTATTAATATTTGCTTGAATTTTGGGAGATTGATGGGAAGGTTAGCCATAGAAGAAGGCTTTGTTCCATTGAGAGGGAATGATTTTCCTACCAATCTTTTCTTTGTTATTTTCTTCGTCTACTTTATTTTGTATGGTTGACGTTTCTTCTCACTCCAAAAATCACTTCACCCAGATTTTATGTCTCACGATTGACGTAACAAATGGAATACTCAAATCAGTTATCTAAGATATTTTTATAGTCTCACTTCCTCCGGGTCTGAACCAAAGTGTAGTTCTTTTGGATTCAAAGAATCAAAATATGTGCGAAAAAAATTTGGGGACCATAATATGTATAGCGTAGTATTTCACTAAGCTATACCTTAACGGCACGTTTATCCGTTAAGGTATAGCGCGGTGAAATACCGCGCTATACATAATTATTGGGCCCACTAATAATTCTTCTGATATTAACTAACACACCAATAATTCAACAGGGTATAACGCTGTTAAATGCCGCGCTATATGTAAGAACCACACTTTGGGCCCACTGATAAATCTTCTGAACTACAGACCAATAATTCAATTGGGTATAGCGCGCATATTTAAGGCGCTATACATCAATTTTTTTTCTTATTTAAAGAGTTTCAGGAGGATTTTCTAAAAATCCATTCAGAATCCTTCAAGTCTTCCGAAATATTTGTTCGTTAAGTTATTTTGCATTTTGTCATAATGTCTGAAGAGCGAAGAATTAGGGTTTCATTATATTGGGGGGGTGGGGTGAGGTTGTGGTGGAGAATAACTCAGTACACTATAGTTGTTCTCCACAGTGTCATGCTAAGTTGCCACTTACAATGGAGTACGATACATTGGTATCGTTGTTATGTAAAAAAATGAGTGTAAGCAAACGTTCGGTGAATATTAAAGTAACCGGAAGATATCCGTATTCTGTTACTCCGCAAGGGGTTGCTTGTCATGCTGAATTTAACATCGAAGACGATAAAACTCTGAGAGATTTTTGAGGACTCCGTATGAACATCGGGAATATCTTGTGATAAAAATGTTGGAAATGTACGTTAAGGCTGAAGACGTTCGCAATAATAAGGTTCCGCAAAGTAGGGATATCTCTCAATCATCGGGTGGTTATTTTGGAGCAGTTTAGCCGAACAGGTTCCGGTGAAAGAGTTTGGCCTGATCTAAACTTATCTCCACGGGCGAATGAAGAGCGGAAAAATAATTTCTCCCCTAGTTTACATAATCCACAAGCCGAGTGGTAAGCTTTAATTTTCCTTTATGTTACGATATTTATTTTTATGTAATAAATTTGTATTAACACTCATATATTCCACAGGGGTTACCGGCCAGATATGAATTTTACAAGTTATGAACCAACGCCCAGTTGGAATATGCCTAGTTTTGGTGTATTGGATGATGGTGGTCCATCCGGGAGTCATCATCAACAGGATAATATCCATCATGGGATATCATGCACATTATGATTTGTAAGTGAAGTGATAAAGCTATATGTAAAGTTTGGATCAATTTGAGAAACTCATTATTTTATTGGTTGTACAGTGAAAATGAGCAACTTGAAGGTTCTGTCCTTATTCAATTGCCCGAAGACGACATATTTAATCGGGATCTGGAAGATGCGCAAAGTCAGGAAGAGAATAATGATTATGACAACAATGCTGATGAGGGTGATGAGGAGGAGGAAGATAATGCTGAACCTGATTTGACGAGGGAGCATGCTCCACCTCCCGTTAGACCAAGAGTGTACGAGTCTCACGTGCCGTTTCATTCAAGGGAGATTCCCTACCTTGATCATTTGCCAAGTATGCCGGATGTGGATGCCCTCACAAGGGATCTTGAAGAAATTCGGACAACAATGTGGGATGAATCTAGAGCAACGGTGCTGTCAAAGGGCATACTTTTTGCTGATAAAGCGCGCCTAAGCAGGGCGGTGAGAATGTACAACATAAAAGAGTGTCGTGAGATCGTGGTTCATGAGTCATCTCCGGATGTATACAAGGTTATTTATCATAGATGGTTTACGGGCTGTAATTGGATGCTGCATGCGAGGAAGCTGAAAATAAATATGTAGGTTGTGGGTAAATACATTGGCACCCACAATTGTGAAATGAACACATTCAGTGGGAACCATTTTAATATTTTTTGTTAACTAATACTATTGTATTATAATCCCCATTGGTAGGACGGAAATCAATGTAGATTTGAAGAATGGTATGATGAACCCATTAACTAGGAATACTACAAATCATGTTTGCAGTATGCTTGGAATATGACCGGTGAATACGAACTCCAGATCTTTAAACTACAACAATAACTTGCGGCAGTGCAGGAGAAACTAAAAGAGGCAGAAGAAGAAAAAATAGGTTGGAAGAGCAATTTAAGTGGTTGAAGCACAGAATAATGGGCGATACTGACTAAACAAATACGTGGATGTATTGAGTGTAGTATTTTATCCTTATGTTTTAAGTGTCATGTATTTTCATTAATTGTATCGAATTTAAATTATGTTAAGTTGTCGTTTTTATTTTTTGTGTTGTAGTAATAAACTAATAAATAACCCGAGATATAAAAACACATGCGCAAATAATGTAAAACATAAATAATATTGTTAATATATACAGAATGTCATATGTACAGATAATAAAAAATGTCAATATGTCCCACAACCTGTATAGCATTGGCTGGCCTGAGGCGCATCCTATCCCGCCCGGCTACACTTTCAGGATCATCCTCATCACGTCGTCGCTTTATCGGAGGATGCGCTGTAGCATGATCATTGGTAAGGCTGGCAGGCTCGGTAGAAGGGGCCGTCGGTCTAGCAGTAACCTACCGAATAATAAGATATTTTAGTATATGAAATATATATTACTAATGTACGTGTTAGCTAAAAATATTTTAATGGTCTTACCATGGTCTCGGCGGGCTCCTCAATATAATCATTCGTCTCAGGCATGTCAGTATCGCACAAAGTGGCCTCCATGACGGGTGAGGATGATGTTTTTAAAAAAAATAAAAATGCTTTAGATATTGATGACTAATCAATGAGATAAAAATAAAAATAAATAATAGTAATACAAATAAACCTGCGCCTGTGAAAGATCCTCAGCATCCCTCGATGATGACCCATAACTCAGTCGGCGCCCACTATGCACATCTCGTGTCGGACGATCATCAGCAATCGTCGATGGCTCTGGGGAACCATAAAAATACTTATCCCACTCCTATCGCGTAATGGCCGTGCCCGCGATCAACAATGGAGCTGACGGGATCACCTGCGAAGTCCCCGGCATCAGCTGAAGGCTGAATGGCGTCATATCATGAGGAGCATCATCTGGCTCAGGGTGGTCACCCGACTGATCAACTCCAAAATCCTCAGTAGGTGGCTCAACGCCCCCTTACCGGGGACCACGTACTTGCCGACCTCCATGACCTCGTGGGACACCCCTTCCTCTCTGGGCACGTCGACCACGTTCAGGCTCCACTACTGGCCCATGATGGTACTGCTCTGGCGGCAGATAATCAGCCTCGTGTCCTAAGAGCTCGTCATCTCGGGCTCGCCTCAATGTCCGGAAAGCCAGATTTGTAACCTGGCGGCCATACTCGTGCAAAACTACCGCTCCCTCGCCGGTATACTGCTGCATCTGCAGGCCCAACTGGTAAAACATATGTAAGCCAATAGCCTGCACAACATGTAGAATATTAATTATGGAACGCTTGGTTAACATTATAAGTAAGTATAACAGATAACATACCAGTGCCTCATGCCTCCCGATGTATGGAATGTACCGATCACCAGCGCGATGAACGGGATTCCCGACAAAAAGTTGGGTAACATTGCGGTATCAGCCCATATACTCATGCTCACCATCCGTACGCTCAGGTGGAGAGGGTGGCAGAATCAGGTCATGCCGCCGGTCCCAAATATCAATCTGCGCCTCTAGCCAGGCCACGTATGTCTGGTCAACCTTGGAACGATCATCCCTCTGGTAATGTGTCCTAAGACAAGCGGGCGGAGTAGGTACAAACTGGGGTCGACCAAATTGGCGAAGGACTAGCTCAGTGGCATGATGCTCGACAATATCGAGACATATCAATGGGACAGAAGAGCTCAATATAAGTCGGCTGCTCGAGCAATAATCGGGCAAACCAACTATAAGCTCGTCGCTGTATGGCCTCCATATAAACTATTAAGTAAAAACAAGAATCGTGAGTAAGCGCAACACATATAAAGCCATGCCAAGTAAACTTAAGTATACATGTACCTGCACGTCCTCCAGCAAATCCAACAAATCCCTGCAATATGGGAGATTATGTCGAGCCTCGACCTCGCGTCCGTAGCCTCGTCTATCAATCCATCTCCTAGCTAAAGGGAGGTGGTGTATCCGGAGCGATAGGTGGTAGAGGTGGCTGCAACTGCAGGAACTGCTCCCAGGCCCAAACCTAATATACAATGTGGACGTAAAATTTAAGGTATATTTTTACTATATATGTTATAATCATGAAAATAATTGACTATATTTTCACCTGAAGCAGTGGCAAAAATCCGGCAACTTCTCGCTGGGTGCCCATGCTCGCCCGACACATCTGCCTATACAAGTAACCTAGAATAGCTGCACCCTAGCTGCAACCAGGTAAATCATCTAGCCCATCAAGATGATGAAGAAATCTCAAGCTAACTAGGTTTCCTGAAGTGTTCGGGAACAATACCCTATCAAACATAAGCAACAACAACAATCTCGTATACCGGTTGATATGAAGATCCGGTGTATCATCAGTATTGTCCGCATCCATCACCTCCAAATACAGCCGGACGGGCGTCAACTACAAAAATTGGCCCCACTCAATGCAGCCTCCTCCGCTGGCTGGAACCCGGTGAGCCGCTACAATATCTCTAGGTACTGCAATCCCGTATAATCTCTTAGCTCATGCGGGTAACCTATAGGATGTCCATCAACCGACAGCCCATACACAACCTCCACGTCCTAAAGTGTGATAGTAGCCTCGCCAATGGGTAAATGAAATGTGTGCGTCTCCGGTCGCCACCACTCTATCAAAGCCGTGATCAACGACCAGTCCAATTGCAACCGGCCGATCTCAATAATCTTATAGAAACCCGTATCCTGAATGTGTCTGACTATACGGGGATGGAGTCGGTGGGCCCTAAG